CTGACACACACAACTCCCAAATAATAATCCCCAGTGATGAAACCTACAAAGAAAGCAGCAGTGCAGAAAAATTGATATTTTGAAGACTTACTAAAATGAAACATCCCCGTATATATGGCAACAAAGAATGACCATGGGACACAGAGAATTAGCAAACTAACAATATCAACAACCAATCAGAAGAAAGCAAAGGTTGTGAGAAAATATGGATTGGGAAAAAGTACTTTGGGTTGTCGTTACAGGAAAGAACTTAATATATATTAACAAAACTGCATAACTTCTGATTTCCCTAGTACTAACTCTTCGCATCACTTAATCAATCAACGGTTGGCCGGAATACTGGAATCGATAAGAAAAGACAAGTAAAACAATTATAATCCCATGAAAAGGAAGCAAAAGCAGATCGACATGGCAACATAAGCACTCGATGAATAGGAAAAAATGACGATTACGGATTTAAAATTATGATTATCTTATAAGCCATGATTGAGGAAGGTGGCATGTACAATTTTAATGCACAAAACTAGATTAATTGATGAGCTCGTACAATTATAATAAATAAATTTGTACATTGATAATGGTGAGCCAAACAGAAGTATACAAATGAGAAGGTCAATCGATGGCAATCAGAAGTGACTTGGAGGACATGTGCATATCATTGGCTAAGAAAGGGATTGATTTGCTAAGAGGTAGAGATGTATATATATATATATATATTCGATAGCCCAATATACTTTCTCGTCCACTCTTGTGTTTTCACTCAAGTATCCAGCTGGGGAGTTAGTGTGTAGTACGTCATGTATCAGTAACAGCTTTCGGACACCCCCATTACAGCACACACTCACTGATTATTTCTCTCAACACAAATTACCTGATAGTTGACAACCTCATAAATCATGGTAGAAAATTTAAGCTGATTTTTTTATTTTACATTTTTTATATTAGCTATTAAGAATGGATAACTTTTTGAAAAGTTATTCACACAGTCTCATTTGTTGCTGTTAAGATATAAATATATATCTAACAAGATATTACCATTTACTGGATTGAGAAAAGAAAATAACAGACATAAACAATAATCTCCATAATAAGAAAAAAACCCACCTGTAACTTGAACGACGTATTGTCTAGACCAGGAGTTATTTCAATTATATTTGCCTGTTACTGGTGAACAATCAAGACTAAGCCAAATTTAATAGAAAAGGACCACAGTTTATAACAAATTTGTTTATTTTTGTTCTTATTATTATTCGTTTCTCTCTACACAGAGAAATATATATCAGAAAAAGATAAATACAACATAAAAACCTAGGAAGCTTCAATGAAAAAAAAATGGATGAGCGGGAGAGAAGAGAAACACATACCGGGAACACCAAAATCCTAATTCACCGTAATTGGTATTAGCAGAGAGGAAAAAGAATTTCGAAAAAGCAATAATGAATAATACCCCCCCCAAAAAAAAGCAATTTACTTCTTTTACTGAAGATGTCAAAATACTACAAATAACACTATGCAACCTAGTATATTTCTGGTTAGTAATTCTATAAAATGAATTTTACACATCTATATAGCGTAATAGATGCACATAGTTGTAAAGCAATTTGAAAAAAAGGATAAAAATTAATTGTCACGTTTAGAATAGTTAATCGACACCAATCGATGTTTTATCTAGGTGTTCAAGGTGACCTTATTTCTGTAATGATCACCTACTTCACATATTTATATAAAAGTAATAAAAAATAAATAAGGACGGAGAGGCAGGGGAATAGACCAAATGATGAATAGGACAAAAGTGAGTTTTATAAACATTTTTCCTATCAGTTTAATTATTTGTAACACGATTGTTCTCCATCTCTCTATCACACATATGAAAGAAACAAATTATACACTTTATGGATAATAAGAAAATTATCCTGGAATAGACAGGAACAAGAAAGATGTAATGGAGACTAATCACTCATAGAAATAGAAAAGAAAACAAACTGTGATAGTCAATCACTAAGACACACAGAAGTACTCAATTGATTGGTAAGAAATTATTAATAAACTGTACATACGAATAGAAAAAAAAGAGAATCATAGCTCTGTTCTATTTCTTATACAGTTAATAACTCGTTATTTTTAAAGAAAGTTTAATTAACGTTCATAAAGGTTAAATATGCACATCGAGATATGCCAGATTAAGGAGTAATTAGAAAACAACCAAACAAACTAAGAGAGTAAGAGTAGAAAGGAGATATTTGACAATAATTAATTAATACATGTATAGACTGGCAGAAGTCTTATTATCAATACAATTAAGAAAACATCAATTGCTTTTGTTCATTTTCTCGTAAATATTCAAATAGTTAGAATATTAACAACAACAACAACAACAACGCTAATGCAAAAAGCATTAAGACAATAGCATAAGAATTGAATACGATATATATATGTATATGTATATATATAGCAGGTGAAAACTGGAAGAGTTATTGTGAAAGCGCTATCATTATTATAATTATCCGATTCAGAATTTCCTATACAAATAGAGTAACACAATATCTACTTATGTGTTTGATTTGAGTTCTGTCAATTTGGAAGGGATGATAAAATAATATGAAAGAAAGTAGGAAATACAAGGGAGAAATGCCGTGCACAAATTAATACAAGTCAATTTGAAGAAGTATTAAAAATCTTGAAAAAAAATGGAGGGGGAAAAAGTAAGCTACAGTTTTATAAACACAGAAAATATAAATAAAACAAAATTGGTACATAGGTTGAATTAGGTTTATGCGGTTATTATTATTTTGATTGTTTGATGACTTCTTTCTTAGAAATTAACAAACAAACAAACAAACAAATTAAATCATCACAAAAACAATAAAGAGAACATGGATTTTCAAAAGAAACAAAGTAAGAATTATTCACCGAGAATTATAGTTTGCATTAAGCCATGTTAAACCTTCATATAGGCCTTCACCTTTGATAGCAACCGACGGTTGAACATACCATATGTGTCCATGTAATCGTGCTAGCATAAGACGTTCTTGAATTTCATTAGGTTTCATAACTAAACATAAACCATACAGATAAACAATATGAGATAATATCAACCGACTGGTTGTTTTTAAATATAGGAAAATTAAGTCATAAGTTTATGTTTATTATAGTTAATGTAAGCTACGTACAGTTTTGTGGATATAAATATAAACGTAATTATATTACTTAAATATATATATATATATATATATATGTCTAATGAAGATGAGATTAAAATCACTTCATATCTTTCTTTCTACTAACTAATTCTTTCTTCCTGTACTGTATCCTTATATGCAATCTTTCTCCAATATATTAACACTTTTGACCTAACCACTCCTATGAATCCGGTGTTCATCTTGCTGTGCTAATGCGGTATGGCAACCTAGACCGATGCATATATGTGCCTGGTCCTACGTTGTAGCTGACTGAATGAATGAAGATGAGAGATAAAATAATGGAAAATGCATTTTATAAAATTTTGGATACAACAAAGCACTGCATAATTTATGGTAATACACTTATTTGATTTCTGTATCTATCATTCGAAACACCCTTGATGGTCCTTAGAAGTCAGGCTTATTAACTGTTTCATCATTTTATGTCCTCCATTGACCACCTTATATCTGGAGAATAAACAGAACTTAGTAAGTAAGGAGGATGTTTTTCACTTGTTATTTGATTATCCTCAGTTTTGTAAAATAATATTCTAGTGACTTCAGTACAGGTATTTATTACACACAAAAAGATCACGGTTTTTATTGATTAGTAGGTCACTAGAGTATGATTGATTCAAGAGAGTAGGGTTTTATTTAGGTTCGGATTGGTATTCTGTTTAAAGATGTCGATAATTAACAAGTCTAATACTTCACTTCTCATATTTATCTTATAGACTATGTTTCTGAATCAACAAACCTATGATCTGGATAGTAGAATATAACTTTTGGATTACAGATATTAAGTAATAATAATAATAATAACAATGTATGTCTGTAACTATTTTATCTTCGAATACCCATAACATTAAATCATTATTTGAACATTTAGAACAGTTCGGGAGAACACTGAACTTATACAACAGTAATTGCAAAACAAGTCAAGTAAAATTGTTATAAGATAATTAGTAACAAATCAATTGACATTAGTCTTTGTTTTTTATGATATAATTTTATGTAGTAAAGTGTGTGCCAAAATAAATAAATAATTATGTTAACCATGTTGGACAGTATTACATGAAGTATATTTTTATAAATATTTTAACGGTATAATTCTCTTACGTAAGCTAATTTTAAGTACAAGTTAATATATCTATGAATTGAAGTAGAATTTAGTTATTAACTCTGATCGAAGTTTAACTAAAACAATTCTATGATATAAAGAAGTAGATAGTTAAAAGTGATTAACATATTTCTAGAAAGGGTTTCGTGTTTATTGACAGTTAGTTCAGGATATATTGATAAGAATATTAACAGTGATATTGATTATTTAGAACAATAATATTGTGTGAATAGGTATCCGTACTAGCTGTTAATATCATATGAGTTGGCAAGGAATTAATAATAGTTCATAAGTAGATGATAGTCGATATGACTTATTTGAATCGTGATACGGATGTTGATTATTACTTTCGAAAAATCATCGTTCAATTTTACTTAAACAATTTGGCTAAATTAACCTGCGAGGGTAACTTATTATAATATTTGGAAACAACACTCTAGATTTCAACATCGTTTGTAAACTTAAAGATTTATAACTTTGATTTACTCATTTACTGTAGACCAGAAATGTTTGTTATTTTGAGCGACTTTCACTGTCAGTTATCCTTTCACAGAACCGAATTATGTAAAACGAACAGTTGTAAAACATTTACAAAGTTCTTAAGTATTGATTGGATATATTAATATGATCACTAGGTAAAGTGAAACGACATTGCAATAAACTACATTCTATATCAGACTTTTGGAGGTAACCATGAGACTGCGGTGTACCCTACTTATGTTAACAGATATAAGTAGTATGTAACATCAATCAGAAGTGGAATACCTGGCAGCAGAAGATTGGGTTGGAGAGAACAGAAGGGAAAACAGAGAGCAATGCTAATAACAACAGAATTAGAAGAATCGTGAAGCATGTTAAGGACAACTGAAAGATGATGTGAAAATAATGTATTTAATGTTTGGCTCCATATTTTCTGAAAGCACTTTGTAATTTTAAAACAAACAATAAGTTGGTCTTCCCCACCTGAGTTCTCGTTTACTACAAGATGACTGAGACTGCAAACTATTATCAGTCATTGAATACAACTCATTAATAATAGGAACGATAAAAATCTGATGAATAATGAGAGCTTCTAAAGGGGTCGTATTCCATGAATGTTCAGAACGATAGTCTTGCAAAGAATGTAATAGATTCAAATGATTACATTGCGCAGCAGTTAGGAAAGAGTAGACAAAAGTAGAGATAACGAGATAAACAAGAAGAATACACGACGAAGAAAGAAGATGGATGATAGTCCTTAGTCACTAAAGATCTATCATATAGTCCCGAAATAATCCAGAACAGATTGTTGAGTAATATGATCACCCTTTTATAGAAAATTATCTTACTTATTTGATAAACCGCGTAAATCCAAACGAACAAACCCTATCCATAATGAGATTTCATTAATGACCAGTCCTTCTGACTTGAAAGAACTCCCTAAATAAGTAGTCTACAAGTTTAATCACTTAAATCAAAGATGGACTAATCTTCGAGCATTATTTTCTGAAAAGACAAACTGGCAGCCAAACATTCCTAAGTTTCCATTTAAAACGTTTAGTGAACCATACATATTATTATATATTCACTTAACAGGATTGTATTGTCTCCACACTTTAGATCAATCACAGGATTTCCAAGCAAGTTATCAATCTCAGTAAAAGTGACGCCAGAAAAATTCACACTATGATAAAATCAGTAGCGATACAATAACGATTGAAGTTTGGTCTGAGAATATCAAATAAAGATAATAATAATAATAATAAATAATAATTAACAATAATAATAATAATAAATAATTAATAACAATAATAATAATAGTAACCCAAGATATTCCCATTCTTATACGTTTGAAGTATTTATTTGATCGCTCTACGGCAGTAGCCAGATAAGGCCTGGAAGTCAATTATTTGCACATTTCGTACTTTAGAATTTTATAAAAACTTCTAATATTAATATTAAACAAATACATTTCAAGCGTATGTTCTAGAATAATTCCTAAGCTCATATGTAACTACAAACGATTTTCTTCCTGACAATTAGCACTTTGTAGTTCAAACTTACCATTAGGAAGATCTTGTTTGTTCGCAAATACTAAGATGACAGCACCTTGCATTTCACGATCAGTAGCTATCCGATGCAATTCTTGTCTAGCTTCTTCTATTCTGTCTCGATCTGAACTATCAACAACAAATATAAGACCTTGACTTCCAGTGAAATAATGACGCCATAATGGTCTGATTTTTTCTTGACCTCCAACATCCTATAAGAAATCATAAATATGCTCAAAAAAGATAATTTAATTCGACATACCCAAACATTAAATCTTACATTTTTGTAAGTTACGGTTTCAACGTTAAAACCAACAGTTGGGATGGTGCTAACGCTTGATCCAAGTTTTAATCGGTAAAGGATAGCTACAAATTAGTACATATTTATTAAGTATATTGAAAATTACTTGTTTTCCCAGCAGCATCAAGACCCAGCATAAGAATACGCATTTCTTTACTTCCGAAGAGTTTGGAAAAAAGTTTGCCCATTTTGAAAGTAACTGACCCTCAGAGGCACTAAACTATAGGAAAAATTATACGAAAAGACATACGTAGAAAAAACCAAACAAAAATATATCTCAGATATTTCAATTGACATGATTTCCAAACTACCAAATTAGAGAAACACCGAAATCGATAAAGACAAAGTAGATGGACCGGAGGTACTGGTTTAGACACTAAATGTTGAATAACGTATTCACGAAATTCTAGTACTTTTCCATTTATTAATAAAAGGACGCTCGAGAAACCTATATTGCAGGTGCCAGCTTGTAATTTTTGAATGCATTGTTTTATTTGTTTGTCAGGGGTCAACTTTAAAGCTCAAACAAAATAAAAACATGGAAAAATGTACGAGTACAGATTGTTACGTAAATAGAAACCGCAAAATGGTGTAAAATGCCTTAAAATAGTAAAAGAGATCATAAATAAACTAAATGGTTTTGAAATGAGACTAATATATACTGCCTTTATGGAAAAGTAGGTAATGGTGAGACTGACACTTCATTCGATTATCAGAGAAATCATAATGGTTAGTAAAGCCTTGTAAGACTCTAATTGATAAATTTGTAGCTCCAAGCAGAATGCTTAAAAAATCCAGTACTTCAGTATTTATTAGCTTGTCATGATATAACCACCTTGATGTTTCTTCGAACCGACATTGGCTTTACAGTCTACTTGATGATCGGGTAAATTAAGAATAAACAGAAGTGACACATCTCATGTCAATTGATTATTTCTTTATTTGAACACATAAATATTGGTACAACAATGCGTCAAATATATATGCGCCACACAAAACAATGAGAATTTAAGGGGAAGGAAAAAAGAGAGAATAAGAGATTGACGTAAAGTGGTGTAATAATAATAATGGTAAAAATGGGGGAGCGGAAAGGTACAATCAAAAGAAATCTTTCAGTTAAGGAATACACAACCACTTTTTTTATGAAGAAAGTAAAAGAAGGTTACAGCAGGATCGCCACTGGCTTCTATTCTGAGCCATATCTGATAACGTCTCTAGCCACTGTGTAGCACCATCTCCCAGACCCCAACCAGGGAGTCGTGAAGGACCGACACAAGCCAGTCCTTTACAGCTTTCTTTCATACCATGACACGATGTCATACAATGACCACCTCTCCGCTTTTTCCAACCAGTCCCAGAGTCGGCAAATAATGCACGACGTGGAGTTCTCTGGGACGACATTCGCAGAACATGTCCAAGCCACCGAAGTCGGTGTTTCAAGATGGTCACACCAATTGAGTTATCATCTCTGTGCCCGAACACACGATCCCGAACCTCTGCATTACTAACATGGTGTTGCCACTGAATGCCAGCAATCCTTCGGAGACAGCGATGAACGAACACAGAGAGTCGTCTAACATCCTCAACTCGGAGAGGCCAGGTTTCACAAGTATAGAGCAAAACTGCTCTCACCGACGCGTTGTAGATCCGACCTTTTACAGCCAGACTAACATCGCGAACGCGCCAAAGATGGCCCAGATTGGCATAAGCCGCTCTGGCTTTCACTATACGTGCATTGATCTCATCACTCACGCCACCACCAGCACTTAAGCAGCTACCCAGATACACGAACTTCTCGACTACTTCTATCTGCTCACCATCCAGGGTGAGTACAGGATTAGAATCCTGCCAGTCTTGTAGAAGTACTTTGCACTTCGAAGGTGCAAGGCACATACCATACCTACGGACACTGATTGTCAACTGATTAAGTGCGGATTGCATGGTTTGGGCATTATCGCACAGTAAGACAATATCATCTGCATACCCAAGGTCGAGAAGTCTTTCTCCAGGCAACAGATCCACACCACTATTACTTACATCCATCAGAGCTGTTTCCAGAATGTCGTCGATGGCAAAGTTGAAGAGGAATGGTGAGATTGGGCAAACCTGTCTAACCCCACTGCTCGAATGGAACAATGGAGAAAGGTGGTTGTATGCCCTCACTCTGCTTGAGGTGTCTAGACATGGGTTTTTTAAGATGTTAATAAACTTCTCAGGCACGCCCTTCTTCAATAGACAATCCCAGAGAACAGTCCTGTCCAACGAATCGAAGGCAGCACTGATGTCAAGAAACACTACAATTGTTGGCCTTTGATAAGTATGACGGTGTTCCAACACTTGGTGGAGGGTGAAGATATGATCAATACATCCTCGACCATAAAGAAAACCAGCCTGCTCCTCGCGAGTCAATCTTTCTCGGGTTTTGAACAACCTAAGAAGTATGACGGAAGCCAATAGCTTGGACGCAATCTGAAGTAGACTTATCCCCCGATAGTTGTTACATGGACGACGTGAACCCTTTTTAAAGGTAGGGACAACTATCGACTCATTCCATGACGTTGGTACACTCTCTAGTTCCCAAACCTTTGTAAAAAACGTCGTCAGTTCCTTAGTCAGAAAGTCGCCACCATCTTTAAAAAGAGCAGGGGGTAAGTCATCTGGGCCAGGTGATTTGTAACGCTTCAAGAGTTGGAGTTCCTTGCGGACTTCCTCCTCGTTTGGTGGATCAGTCGTCACCGGCCATGGAGGGCAGGACAGTCTGACCGATGTTGCCGGAGCAGCAGGCTAGTTGAACTGCCCTTCGAAAAATTCTGCCCATCGTCCAAGACGTCGATGGATGTTAGTGATTGGCATCCCATCATTCTCGCAGATTGTTTCGCTCACACCAGACTTCTTGCTGCCAGTGGCTCGGATGAGTTGGAAGAGCTTCCGGTAATTACCAGATGCAGCTGCTTCTTCCAATTCATTGGCATGCTCCGATCACCATGCAACTTGGTCCTTACGCAAGCTTTGCCCAATTTCACTACGTAACAGTCGTCGTTCGTGGTCAGACTCACGGTCAACCGGAGTAGACCGATGGGCTTCAATGAATTGTAAGGAGACTGAAGAAACCCAGTACTTATAAGCGGGACGTTCCGCGAAGCCGCGAGCGACTTAACCCACCATTTTCATGGCGTCATGCAATTGCAACCAATGCTCATCTATACTTTTCGGTGGAGTGGTAGCTTGCGTAGAGGCTAGCTCGGTTCGATACTTACTTGCAACAGAAGTTGCAACCAGCTTGCTAATATCAATCCGTTGATGGCGGTCACTTCGTTGTCCACTGAAAAGTAAGGCAAGATTGGCGCAGGCCAAAGCATGGTCAGAGTTCAGGTAGGTACTCCAAAAGGAGCGGCAGTCTTGTACACAACCACGCCAGCGGTAGCTGATCGCAATGTGATCAATCTGAGTCCAGGCTTGAGATGCAGAAGGAGGACGCCAGGTAACACATAGACGATGACTGTGACGAAAGTTAATGCTAGCCAGAAACAGGTTGTGGTCTGTGCACAGTTGCAGGAGACGGTCCACCTTATCTGTCCTGAGACCAACAAGTCCCCATCGACCACCTAAACAATCCTCTTTTGTGCCTAGACACCCGACCTGAGCATTCAAGTCTCCGGCTAGTACCAAATTATCTGTCGAACGCATTTTCTGGAGAAGAACAGTTAACCGGTGATAGAATTCATCCCTGATTGCATCCGGGCTGCAATCTGTCGGGGCATAGGCGGAGATGACGAAAAGACATCGTTTCTCACGCCGGTTTCTTCTCACTTTGATGGAACTTTCTAATCTAACAGTACATAACCGACTGTTAATGGGGATCCAATCGATTAATGTTGCCTCAGCTGTAGCGCTCAGTGCGACACCAACGCCAGCAAGACCAGACGAAGATACCACAGGGTCCCCGGATAAGCGCACGTAAAACAAGCTTTTCAAAGCGACAGATGTAGAGCGAATTTGTAGTACTTCGCCAGAGTCTTGAATACGGGTCTCGGATAGACAACAAACATCAATATTAAGACTTTCCAAAGACATAGCCAGCCCTATCTGTTGTCCGACCTGCATAAGTGTGCGAACGTTGAAGGCAGCCAGTTTGAATAGTGCAAGTGGTTTCAGAAAAACTGCTTCAGTACTCATATTCGGTGGTAACATACAATTTTCAACCGGAGAGTGGCTCGAGAACGTTTAGATAGAGTCGAATTTCCACCAAAAACGAGCTGCTGCATAAGTCGAAAAAATAAGTATAGACAGAGTAGGAATAAAAGAGAGTGAATAATGTCGTAGTAAATAATAATAATAATAATAATAATAATAATAATAATAATTATTATTATTATTATTATTATTATTATTATAACAATAACAGTAAAAATAATAATAGTATTATTAATGACAATAATTGTAATGATAATAATCTGAATCATTTGATTGTTATTCGAAGCGAGAAAAGTAGTTTCCATAGATATAGAGAGTTCATCATTTGCGTGTGGGCTGTGATACTGCCCGGGTGCCCAGACCGAAGCAGGTGGTTATATTAGGGGGCCACTCCCCGAGCCTTTGACCTAAAAGTCTAACCCACAAGGCAGTGAAGCATCGTAAGGAGATGCAGTCCCATGGTCGCCAGTGACCGAAAATTGGTTCATACGCCATTTGCTCCCGCACGATACTGGAGCCCATGTACAACATTGTTTTGGGATCCGGTTAGAGCACCGGATATTCGCTAGATACCACTCCACCGAAAAGTATAGATGAGCATTGGTTGCAATTGCATGACGCCATGAAAATGGTGGGTTAAGTCGCTCGCGGCTTCGCGGAACGTCCCGCTTATAAGTACTGGGTTTCTTCAGTCTCCTTACAATTCATTGAAGCCCATCGGTCTACTCCGGTTGACCGTGAGTCTGACCACGAACGACGACTGTTACGTAGTGAAATTGGGCAAAGCTTGCGTAAGGACCAAGTTGCATGGTGATCGGAGCATGCCAATGAATTGGAAGAAGCAGCTGCATCTGGTAATTACCGGAAGCTCTTCCAACTCATCCGAGCCACTGGCAGCAAGAAGTCTGGTGTGAGCGAAACAATCTACGAGGATGATGGGATGCCAATCACTAACATCCATCGACGTCTTGGACGACGGGCAGAATTTTTCGAA